TTTATAGTGGGATCTGTACGCAGAGTCTATAGTGGGATCTGTACGCAGAGTCTATAGTGGGATCTGTAAGCAGAGTCTATAGTGAGATCTGTAAGCAGTCTATAGTGGGATCTGTACGCAGAGTCTATAGTGGGATCTATAAGCAGTCTATAGTGGGATCTGTAGGCAGAGTCTTTAGTGGGATCTGTAAGCAGTCTATAGTGGGATCTGTAAGCAGTCTATAGTGGGACCTGTAAGCAGTCTCTAATGGGATCTGTAAGCAGTCTATAGTGGGATCTGTAAGCAGTCTATAGTGAGATCTGTAAGCAGAGTCTATAGTGGGATCTGTAAGCAGTCTATTGTGGGATCTGTAAGCAGAGTATATAGTGAGATCTGTGAGCAGTCTATAGTGGGATCTGTAAGCAGTCTATAGTGAGATCTGTGAGCAGTCTATGGTGGGATCTGTAAGCAGTCTATAGTGGGATCTGTAAGCAGTCTATAGTGAGATCTGTAAGCAGAGTCTATAGTGGGATCTGTAAGCAGTCTATAGTGGGATCTGTAAGCAGAGTATATAGTGAGATCTGTGAGCAGTCTATAGTGGGATCTGTAAGCAGTCTATAGTGAGATCTGTGAGCAGTCTATAGTGGGATCTGTAAGCAGTCTATAATGGGATCTGTAAGCAGTCTATAGTGGGATCTGTAAGCAGTCTATAATGGGATCTGTAAGCAGTCAATAATGGGATCTGTAAGCAGTCGTTAGTGGGATCTGTATGCAGTCTATAGAAGGATCTGTAAGCAGTCTATAGTGGGATCTGTAAGCAGTCTATCGAAGGATCAGTAAGCAGTCTATAGTGGGATTTGTAAGCAGTCTATAGTGGGATTTGTAAGAAGTCTATAGTGGGATCTGTAAGCAGTCTACAGTGGGATCTGTAAGTGGTCTTTAGTGGGATCAATAAGCAGTCTATAGTAGGATCTGTAAGCAGAGTCTATAGTGGGATCTGTAAGCAGTCTATAGTTAGATCTGTAAGCAGTCTATAGTGGGATCTGTAAGCAGTCTATCGAAGGATCTGTAAGCAGAGTCTATAGTGGGATCTGTAAGCAGTCTATAGTGGGATCTGTATGCAGTCTATAGTGGGATCTGTAAGCAGTCTATAGTGGGATCTGTAAGCAGAGTATATAGTGAGATCTGTTAGCAGTATATAGTGAGATCTGTGAGCAGTCTATAGTGGGATCTGTAAGCAGTCTATAGTGGGATCTGTAAGCAGTCTATAGTGGGATCTGTAAGCAGTCTATAGTGGGATCTGTAAGCAGTCTATAATGGGATCTGTAAGCAGTCTATAGTGGGATCTGTAAGCAGTCTATAATGGGATCTGTAAGCAGTCTATAGTGGGATCTGTATGCAGTCTATAGAAGGATCTGTAAGCAGTCTATAGTGGGATCTGTAAGCAGTCTATCGAAGGATCTGTAAGCAGAGTCTATAGTGGGATCTGTAAGCAGTCTATAGTGGGATCTGTACGCAGTCTATAGTGGGAACTGTAAGCAGAGTCTATAGTGGGATCTGTAAGCAGAGTCTATAGTGAAATTTGTAAGCAGAGGCTACAGATGGATCTGTAAGCAGAGTCTATAGTGGGGTCTGTAAGAAGACTCTCTATTGGGATCTGTAAGCAGACTAGTAGGATATGAAAGCAGAATATATAATGGTATCCATAAGCGGAGTCTAAAGTGGGATTTGTAAGCAGAGTCTAAATTGGGGAATGTAAGCGGAGTCTCTAGAGGGATCTGTCAGCAGACTTTGTAGTAGGATATGAAAGCAGAATCTGTTGAAGGATATTTCAAATGAACTGACTATCCATTTTATGTAAAGGAATAAAATACTTTCAGCTAATTTTTGGCTCAAATGCTTTGTTACAGTGTGGAATGTCTACAATAAAAAATTCTGAGCAGCTTACAAGATATCATGGCCATTATTCATTCTCTTAAATTTGATACATAATTATTTTTAAATATTTACATTTGCTATGGTTTTCTAATAAGCCAACTGTGAAATTAATTTGAATACCTTTTCATGTATACACAAGCATAGAAATATACACAGAGCAACTCGCACTAAAGTGATGTCACAATGAGGCTACTAACAGAAATATTAATTAATAAGGATGCAACAATAAAGGGCAGCAAGAAATTCAAGAGCATAGTTTGGGGTCTAAAATATTTAAAATGTAAATAGAAGGAATTCTTTAAAAAGTTTCACGTGATTTACACCAATAAGTCACATGAAACTTAAAAACATTCCTCAAATATCAACATAATTTAAACAACTTTTCCTTCATCTGAGTGAATGGTATAACATTAAGTAAGATAAAAAAATCAAAATGAAGGATTTTTATATGAACTGTCATGCTTATCATTAGTGTCAACTTAATACAACCCTTAATCTCAATCCTATCCACCACTAGTAATTGGCACTGAATATCAATATGAATCAATTCTATTATTGAATCAAATAGGGGTGATACGATACACCTCCTTCACGGTTCGATATACATGTATATTGTAAAATTTGGTCTCGGTTTGGTTATTTTTAATACCATACATTTTGATAGAAGGAAACAAATTCAACTGTTGTTTTATGCTTCTTTTTATTTAAGCTAGTCAAATAATTCATGTGCAAAATGGATAGAAGAAATAAATTTAATATTGATTTGACTGTTAAAAATTATTTTACAAACTTTAAGTCCACAAATGTTTACGTTTTTGAACTAATTATTCAGAGGAGCATGTTTATACCTTATGCCAAACCCGACTGAATGACGATCCCGACCGAAAAACAAACCGAACCGAAAATAGAGATTTTGTACCAAGTATCAAACCGAGAAAAAATACCGTGGTGAATCGATGCTGCGGTGAACCGTTTCACTCCTAGAATCAAATTACACATTACTTCATACATGCCAACTTTTGAAAATTCCTATGGGGGATTTAGCGCGTGACTACAATTTTCAAAGCTTTAAATTCGCGACATTTTGTCGTGAAATTAAATGATTATGAAATGATTTTTTTTAAAATTTATAATATTGATATTACTTATCAATACAACTTAAGAATTAATTTAACACAAAAAATAATGTTTTTCTTTCCAAAATTGAAATATTTCTGCTAAAATAGGTGCCTCTTTCACTTAAGAAGGGGTATTTAGTTACATATGTAAACAACATTTTTTTTCTACCAGAACACATAATTTAGTGAAAAATTGAAAATTTTACAACTTTTAAATCATTTTTTCAAAGGCTAAAAAATATGAGGTTTTGATACTGTAAAGTCCTGTTTCTGGAAACATTTTTGAGATTTTTTATATATATATAATAGAAATTCTAATTAGATATTAAATATACAGAAATTTATACCACCTATGTAAAAGAAAATTATTTTTTTTTACAGTCATGAAATTCGTCAGGCTTGATGTTGCCATTTGGGTATTTCCTTAAGTCATGCACATTACTTTTGGGAGAAGGGAGGGAAAAGAAATTCTAATTGAAATACACTTGATTGTTTCATCTTCATTTTTTCATATTATTTTAATTGGCAACTGAGAAATATTTTTCATTATAGGTAGATAAAATCATCAGCTACGCTTTATAGTTTTCTACTTTCGTTTTCAAAAAAACGATCTCTTTGGATTCCGATTTTATGGTTTAATTAGTATTTTATTGTCTTTAATTTATGTTTTTAATAAAATGACTAATAGTTATCACGTTAATCTATGTGTTTCACCTTGCATACCCCTTAAAACTGACAAGATAATACCCTAATTGCCCCAAGCTATAAGCTACTCGTACCTGGACAACTGCGTGCGTTCCTGCGTGAAGTGATTTCCTGTGGCTAATTAGTAATTAACATCTAATAAACAATGAAACTTATCTGTGTGCATTGAATATACAAGTCTGACATTGTTATCCCGATTGTCAAAATTCAGCGGTAGGGAAACTTCTAAAATCTGAAATTTTAAGGTGATTTTTTTTTTCAAATTGGGAAATTAGGGCAATTTTTCTCTCCCGATCGGGAAGGCGGGATGAAAGGGTAAAATCGGGAGGATCCCGCCTAAATCGGGAAGGTTGGCATGTATGATTACTTTAATTCTTTAAATTGTTATATGCATATACATATTTCATGGCAGAAAATAAAACCTTAACCTTTTCACATTGCTAAGCCTGTGTGTTGAAATAATTGTTTTTTTCTTTAAGTTCATCAATAAGTATTGCTTTTAATGCATATTAAGATAATTGGAATGTGACAGTGACACTGTATAAGCTGCAATATTTTAATCTTAATTATTATAAAAATAAAAGTGAAGATTAGGACAAATACATTGTAAGATTATGTGTAATGTTTTCAAGTCAAGTTTCTCATAATGTCTCCAATAGTGACTTACTCCTCTTCACTAAAATCTCTGCTATCCACTGATTAATAAACCGATCAATAGTTTATTGGTAAATAAGTTTCTCATTTCCATCATAATATTGATTTGCAGAGAAATGCTTACCTCTTTTTTCACTGCTCGAAGCAGTTTCTGGCGATTTTCTGCCTCTGAAAATACAAGATTGAAACATTACAGACAGTGTACAAAGCACATTGTGCAGCAGTGTTCAGACATTACATATTGCGCAAATTTCTTTGGATTGAAAAGAAAATTAAAGAATCGAAACGGTGCTTACCCGGTGCCGTCATTTTTACCAATATTCCTCTTCATCTGTGGCTTTATCGATTGATTCTGCTCTCAGCGTCATGCGCAAACGATAATCATGTTGACAAAATGAAATTAACGGTGTGGCAGGGGTTTGTCAGCTCTACCATTCTAATTTCGGTTCCAATTTCTTCAATCTTTTTTTAAAGATTATACAACATTCTATCTCACAGTATAACACTTGTAGTACCAAATTTATGTTTTTTATCTTAAAATTGACCACAAAAACTATTTTTGCAGCTTGTTTTCATTTCCCATAGAATCCGAATTTGTTATAGAACAAATTACTGCATAAACAATGGGGAGCACGGGACACTTGTCAAATGGGAAATTAAATTTAAATTTACTACGTGATTATTATCGCCGTGAACTGTTAGAACTTTTAGACAAATGCTTGGGATCAAAGGTATAATGCATGCTCAATTTGCATCATTTATTTACAAGAGAAAAAAGGGAGTTTGTTAAAGTCCGAGTTTGCTCTGTGACATCAGTTTTTCTTCTGTTTTAGGCACTTGTATGGGATGATGCACTCACTGGACCCTTTGGCTTAATAGCGGAGTATTCACTTTTAAAGGTGAACAATTTTTTGCAATTCTTCAATAATTTAGTTGGTAATAATGATTTTGAAATCATTAGGGCTGGGTATTGAAAGAAATTTTTCGATACGATACATATTGCAATACAGAGGTGCGATATGCGATACATATTGCCGATACAGACAAATGAGAATACACTATTCTTTGCATGTTTTTTTAAAGATGTGATAGTGTTTTTTGATTAAAGCATAAATTTACAATAATAAAACATTTTAAATCCTTGTTTTTTTTTATTCTCTTTGAATGGACAAGTGTATGACAGATTAATGTTATTTGCCGATATTTTTCTTCAGAAAAATCAAGGCATTGATCCACTTAGGTTTCAGACAAGCCCTTGCCACTGGTGCTAAATACTCGTTCTGAAGCCACAGACGACATCACAACATTGACATGTTTGACTGTGTTGATACTTCACTTGATGTCGTATTCGTGGAAGTAATGGCAGATAAAATATTTTACCAAAGTTAAAATAAACTATGACTTAAAAATTCTGATTGATATCTTATTATCGGTTTACATTCCATGACTTTTTTTTTCGACGCGCCATTTTACCTACCGGAATTGCCTCCCAAGTTTCACAGTAGCAAACAGGTCAATGTTGCGATGCCGTCTGAGATGGGTAATAATATATAGGCTCGTTGTTTCGCCAGAACTTGCGACTTCTTGTTGACAAATATAATTACATTTTGCCCTTTTGCTGCTGACTTTCACGTAGCGACCCTATACTTCTGACATGTTTACATGCGTTTAACCGATTTTAGACAAGTCGTTCGTAATATTAGTCACTTTCACGTTTTTCTTTCTCTTAATTAAACGTTGAAATAATCGAGCAATACGCAAGCATCTCTGTATCGGTTATCGTATTGCTAAAAAATATCGATATATACCGATTACCGATATATTGATCCAGCCCTAGAAATCATAAATACTGGGAACTTTTGCTATATTTGTTAATATAGCCAAATAATCCAATTTATAAGTTCCAACTAACAGAAAACATGATGTTATAAATTAGTTGCATACCTATAGAACATTAAATGTACCATTTTTCGAAATATTCATGGAAGCAAGGTTTATTTATCCATTTTGGTGAACTTTTGTTATTATCAAGATGGTACAATGTAGTTCTGATTTATTGACTGATTGATTGTATGTTGTTTTACGTCCCATTCAAGAATTTTTCACCCATATAGATATGTCACCGTATACCAGTGAAGGGCTTCAAAGTTTTACCTTTACTTGGCACTCAGGGCCATTAAGCAATGAGGAATCTTCATCCTGTCAGCACCTACTGTGACACAGGGCCTCGGTTTTTAAGGTCTCATCTGAAGGACCCGCAGCTTTCACTTCAGTTTGCTGATTGCATTGTGAAGGAATAGTTGCTACCCATTTTTAGCTCACCTCAATGAAGTTGGGGGGAGCTTATGTGATACCCTCGGCGTCGGCGTCGCGGGTTAAGGTTAAGTTTTTTGGAGCAGTTTTCTTTTTAAGTACTTCTATGTCCTATATTGATTAGATATGCATGGAAGATGTTTCTAACTTTCTAATGTGTTTCATTGTACCAGTCAAAGTTTCAGATGCTGCAATTTCAGCAAAGGAATGACCAGGTTAATGTTTTTGGTGCAGGTTAACATTTTTGGTGCAGGTTTTGGTGTAGGTCTCATTTCCGAGTAACTATAAGCCCTATGTTGACCAAACTTACATGGATGGTACATCTTAGGATGCAAACTACCAGACTTGCTTCGGATGCTGAATCTGACCTACATTTTCCGGTTGAGTGAACAGGTTAAAGTTTTTGGTGCAGGTTTCATTTCCAAGTTTCTATGAGACATATAATGACCAAACTTGCATGGATGGTACATCTTAGGATGCATACTACCAGTCTTGCTTCGGATGCTGAATCTGACCTACATTTTCCGGTTGAGTGAACAGGTTAAAGTTTTTGGTGCAGGTTTCATTTCCAAGTTACTATGAGACATATAATGACCAAACTTGCATGGATGGTACATCTTAGGATGCATATTACAAGACTTGCTTCGGATGCTGAATCTGACCTACATTTTCCGGTTGAGTGAACAGGTTAAAATTTTTGGTGCAGGTTTCATTTCCAAGGTACTATGAACCCTATAATGACTAAACTTGCCTGGATGGTACATCTTAGGATGCACACTACCAGACTTGCTTCGGATGCTGAATCTGACCTACATTTTCCGGTTGAGTAAACAGGTTAAAGTTTATGGTGCAGGATTCATTTCCAAGTAACTTTGAGCCCTATAATGACCAAACTTGCATGGATGGTACATCTAAGGGTGCATTCTACTAGGCTGGCTTCAGAAGCTGAATCTGACCTACATTTCCTGGATTAGTGAAAAGGTTAGTTTTTTATACAGGTTTCATTTCCAAGTAACTTTGAGCTCTTTGTTGAACAAACTTGCATGGATGATACTTCTTAGGATGCACACTAATGGACTTGCTTCAAATGCTGAATTCAACATACATTTTCCAGATAATAGACCTCGTAAAAGTTATGGGTGCAGGTCTATCACCAAGAAACTATAAGGCTTATATAAACCAAAGTTGCACAAATGATGCATCAAGGGATGAAAACTCTCAATCTTGCTTCAGATGCTGGATTTTAATTACATTTTCATGATGAAGAACTAGTTTTAAGTTTTTATATAGGTCTATTCCAAAGTATCAAAATTGCATAAATTTTGCATTTTTGGATGTACACTTTTTGTTGGTTAATTGTGTGACTTAATTTGCCTTACTTAAAGACAACATTCGTTGAGGTGAGCTCTGTAATCTCTGATTACCTATGTTTTATCAACTTAGTTCATTCACGATTGAGATTCGAACTTATGACATTCCAGTCACATAGCAAGCGCTCTACCAATTGAGCTACCATGATGGTCTGCAGCAAGATGCAATTTTGCATGTACAGGATTTTAAATTTAGATTTACTGTGGAAAAAATTCAGTTGAAACAATATGCACAGTCCAAATTTTCTTTTCGTCAAGCCTGAAAACGTTGTTTTGACAGCTCACATTGCAAGTTGAACTTTGTGACACTTGCTACATGTACACTTCCCAATAAATTCCTGTGAAAAATGTTTATATATCTGGGTACCTTGAGGCCATAAATATTTTTCCAACCTAGTTATAGAAATGACAGGGTTCGACACTAACACTTTTAGGCTTTGGTCCGGCCAGACTAGTGCTTCAGTACTTTTACTAGTCCACGGGCAATTTTACTAGTCCGTCAAAAATATAATTAAATAAATAGAATTAACATTGCAATGTAATTTTTATACTTTTTTTTTTAAATAAACAAAGCATTTATATGAAACATTTTATACCAAGATTCGTTGAAACTGCGCGATCAGGAACTACGATCGTATTCCCGATCTCATTCATTTTTCTGTATATTATTACATCATCCAAACGTCCGACACTTTCTTTATGTGTCATACTAAATCATGATCGTTAAAATGTTTAATTTCATACCAGTGAGTCCTAAAATTAAGCGCTTAATTGGCTCAGAATTACCAAACTTCCCGCCAAGAAGCTAGAAAGCTAAAAATACATACAGGGTTTTCCAGTGAAAGTTGTAGAGAATTGAACATCGGTCAAAAAAAATTGCTCCCCCAGAAAACTTTATTAGTCCGTTCGGACTTGTTAGCCACAGATTTTATTAGTCCGAATTAAAATGTATTAGTCTTAGACTAATGGGCTAACGTTAATGTCGAACCCTGAATGATATAAAAAGATGAATTGAACAGTAAATGGTCTTTGAATCTTGTAAAATTTACATTTATATTATAGCTATACTTGATAAAGAATGGTTTCTTTCTAATCTTTTCTGGTTTAATTTAGGAACATGAGGTTGAGAAGATGTTTCCATTGTCAGACAAGGGCCTCCCTCCCAGTAATGTGCAGAATATCATCTTTGTCACCAGGCCCAAGCTCCAGCTTATGGAACAGATTGCTCAGAATTTACTGCAGTAAAGTTCATAATTCATACCATGTTACATATATGTGTTAATCTGTAGACAACTGCTAAGCATAGAGAATGAGTAATCAATTATGCATATATTTCATAAGGGTAAAATAAAATTTACATTTACTTTGATACTTTCAAATATACATTGTTTTTTTTATTTTTATAAAAAAAATTTTACACTGTCATATTTGTAGAGAAGAGCACAAAGGGGGCTTTAGGAAAGAATATCACATCATATTTGTACCCAGGAAGAGCTTGCTTTGTGAGAAAAAACTGAAGGTAGATGAATAGTTTAAAGATATTATAATGTAAAAACAAAATATATGTAAAATACAAGAATGTTGGTAAGACGAACATCTTTTAAGCTCACTTGAGCCAAAGGCTAAAATGAGTCTTTCTGAACACAATTTACCAATTGTAGATTTAATTGCTATTAAGTAAAATTGTTTAACCCTAAAAGAAAATTGATAGAAACAATTTTTTTAAAGAAGAAATTATATAAATACATGTACTGTATATAATTAGATTTTTTGTTGGAATTACATGTATATTATGCTTTTTTTATTTACAGGAAATGGGTGTTTATGGGACCCTGAATAACATAGAAGAATTTAATTTGTCGATGATTCCCTTTGATTCTGATCTCATGTCTATGGAAATGGAAGGAGTTTTCAGGGTAAATATTTAAAGATCACGGACAGAGATTATGTTAATATTGGTTGCTTTTAATCAGCAGTATAAAGAATTAATATGTCCAGAAATAAGCCTGAAACGTTTAAGAGCCATTACTGGCTATTCTCTGATGGTGTGATGCACCTAGTTTTCCAGATTTCGAAATAGAACTGAACAACTAAAATAGTGTTGAGTTGCAGAAATGTTACATTTGTTATATGCAAATAAGGGTAAATGATTGTTTTAAATTACAGGAATGTTACCTGGAGAATGACTACACCACCATGTTTTACGTTGCCCAGGCTTTGATGACGCTACAGTTCCTGTACGGAATCATTCCCAACATAAACGGCAAGGGGGACTGTGCCAAGGTAGAGTATCAAGTGTTCTGTCAAGCTATACCCAGAGTTTTCCTTCCTTGTCACTTGCATGC